CCCTGGCAAATCCCTCGCAAACGTCACGTATCACTTATGAACTTTTTCTGTCTCCAAAGGCCAAGAATTGAAATCGGAATGTATCCCAGGCTCCCAGACCAGGTAAGTAGAAAAGTTCTCCTCAACCCACCAAGGAAAGCTTACCAGGTAAATATCAAAGTATCTCGCATAGTAAATGCCTTGTGGTGAAGACCATTGGTGTCCACCATGGACCTTGATATTTTTGAAGCACATCGCAAGATAGTTGAAGCGTGTCAGTGTGATCCTCAGATCACCCACAGCGAGATGGGAGCCTGGTCGTGGAAGTTTCGTCACCAGACGAGTGATTGTCTGAGTGCAATTTGCAACATTCCTGGAGCTCAGTTTCCATGTTCTGAGAAAACATTTAAACAGTGCAAGGGGGATTGTCTTTTCCCAAAACCGTATCAAGTATTCTAGAGAGAGACTGAGGAACTCAAGAATTTTAAGGTAGTAGCAGTAAAGCATTTTAAGAAGAAAGTTTGTGGTGTGGAACAATCGACACCAGCTCTCCTTCAAACTTTTCAAACGTTAGTTCTTCCGGTTAAGTTGGCATGGTACCACCTCAAGGCTTCCACTGCCAGTGTTATGGGCATAAAACGAACTCTTGCCGTTTTAGGAAAATGGACTACCAAGAGTGTAGGTAGAGTGTGGTACAACAAATCGTCATGATGATAACTGAACAGGTCCAGTATACTGCTATCACTGAAAAAAAGCTCACGAGGCCTCCTCAGGGTAGTGTAAGAGGTACAAATTTGAAACAAATCGCCGCAAAAAGACACGGTTCTGCTAATGGCAGTTCAATACTGCGCTCGCAGAGAAAGCCGAGGCACTTCCATCACTTTACCTTGCAAACGAGGACAGTTGCAAGACGCGTCACCAATGGGTAAGGCCCATTGGTGACAGTTATTCATGAGGATGGGAAACGTAATTGTGACAGATGCTGTATTAAACCCATTGTATGATATTGAACTCTGTGTAACTGGTAGGATCAGATACCCGTGGATCTTAAAAAATAATAATGAATAAAAAAAAATAAAGCGGATATGATCAAGCGCATTACTACACTGACTTCTTTCAACGCCTCCAGAGGTCAAATTGTTCTCGTTGCAGTAAACATTCCTGACGAAAGGGCGATGAAGGAGTACGTTCGACTGACCGATTATGTGACATTAGGCAACTATACGTATCTGCGAAACCTGCCAAGGGCATGGGGCGCTAAGGGGGCGGTAGGACATCAGCATGAAGGTCCGAACTCACAAGCGCCCGACGGATGTGTGTAATGACAAAATTTGACAATGCGACAGGTGTTGCATCTATTTCCTATACGTCTGGTTGATTTACACTTTGTTATTACATGAATTAAGTACAAGAGAAACTATTATCATAGTTCATTAACGCTATCATCGTTCCCTGTGTGAAATAATTGAGAGCGTTGATAAAACATTTGTGGCCTCACTCCTATCTGACGATGACAACGGGCCGCGGTCACCAGGCGCGCCTCCGTCCCCTCGAGAGTTCCGTCAGGCGAGCCCGTGAGGCCTCACTCGTGTCTGATTTGCTGGACTGATTGCAACAGAACAGGAACGACGAAGGGAAGGGCAAGAAAACACATGAATATGCCGAAGGCCTTTTCACTATTGCTTCGTCAGGGCATATAGCGAAATAGTGAAAAGGCCTTCGGCATATTCGTGTGTTTTCTTGCCCTTCCCTTCGACGTTCCTGTTGCAAGCTGTTCAACATGAATTTCACACATTGCTGGGCTGAGTGACGGCAGCCAGCGAAGATTAACCTTCTTCGTCGTGGTGGTGGTATTTGGGCGATGCAAAAAAAGGACATATGCCCAGAAAGTCTGAAGATAGTACGGCTAAATTCTTAAAGGCCGGAAGCTCAAAGTAAGTGCAGATAAGAATTTTTTAAAAAGTTTTTTTTGTGTGTGTTATTTACTCCCTCAGTCAATCTCCTCCTTCAGGTGCACAAGGAAAAAGTGACCAAAACACAAAATTTATTTGCATAAAAATGTCTCTACGTAATATACAGTCACATCAGCGCCATCTCCTTCTGCCGCATGATTTAAAAGGCACTGTATTTTAATACAGTGAGGCACCTGACCACAGAAGTTAAAATTAAAAAAAAAAAAGCAAAAAAAAGTCAGAAAATAGTACACACTGCGCCATTCAAAAAAAAAAAAAAAAAAAAACACGTACAGTTAACTTCCACCACCATTTTTCCCCCCCCCCCCCCCCAACACCCGATTTTTTTTTTTTTTTTTTCTTCTCTCCACTCCACTCGGACTAAAACTGACAGAGGGCCGAGGCAAGCAAGTCGCATTCCCCGTCGTGAAGGTAATACGAGTCCATTTTGTTCAGCGCCGCGCAGTTCTGAAGCCGCCCCCCGTCTGGCTGGCTGCTGAACCCGGGCCTGAAAGCGAAACCGGGACGGAGGTTATGTGTCTGTCTGTGTGCACGCGCGTGGATGTTATGGTTAATATCTTTGTTATCATTATTATCATCTTAAGTATCATTTTCATATTTGTTTTTATTTTTAGATGTTGTTATCCTTATTATTAACATTATCATTTTATTATTATCATTATTATTATCATTATTACCATTATCGTTATTATTATTGTTGTTGTTATTATCATTATTGTTATTGTCATTGTTATTATTACTGTTATTGTAATTACTATCATCATCATCATTATTACTAGCAGTAGTAGCATCAGTAATAGTTGTATCATTACTTTCAATGTCATTATTATTGTGATCATTATCATCACTATTGTGTTTATATATATATATATATATATATATATATATATATTATATATATATATATATATATATATGTTACCTCCATCAGTAGTTTTTATTATATGATAACAATCATTGTTTAGTATTGTAGTCATCATTATTATATATAATTATCATTACTACCAATATTATTACCATCATTATAACCAAAATTAATATTATCATCATTATCTTACTAGCATCATTATTGTTATGATCATTATTATTACCATCCCCATTACTATTATCATTATATGTTGTTGTTGTTTTTTTTGTGTGTGTGTCTGTGTGTGTGTGCATATGTGTGTGTGTGTGTGTGGTGTGTGTGTGTGTGTGTGGGTGTGTGTGTGCACGCGCGTGTGTGTGTGTGTATGTATGTATGTGTTTTGTTTGTGTGTGTGTGTGTGTGTGTGTGTGTGTGTGTGTGTGTGTGTGTGTGTGTGTGTGTGTGTGTGTGTGTGTGTGTGTGTGTCTATCTATCTATCTATAAATATATATACATATCTATTATATCTATCTATCTATCCATATATATATACATATAGATATAGATAGATAGATAGATAGATAGATATAGATATAGATGTATATATAGATAGATAGATATATAGATATATACACACACATACATATTGTATGTATACACACACACACATACGCACACACACACACGCGTGTGTGTGTGTGAGTGTCTGTGCGTGTGCGAGAGCAAGAAGCGGCGTCTGGAGGCGAACTGACGTCAGAGAAGAGCCCCAGAAGGGCGCGCCGCCGGGCATGAGCTGCCCCGTGTGCCAGCGCCAAGCCCCCTCCTCGTCCTCGTCTGAGCCTCCTACGTAGATGTAAGGAACCTCATCTGCGTCCCTGTCCACTTGCGGGAGAGAAACAAGTGAAAATGTGCTTTAGGTTCAGTTTCTGACTCGGCAAAAGAGAATGATAAGGAATAGGATGATGATTGTGGCGAGAAAGGTTGGAAGATGCGCGCCCGCAGACGATGATGAGGTCACGGCCACTGTCAAGCGAAATTCCCTGTAGAAATGACCGGCTTCGAAGGATATGCAATACATTCCCAAGCCATCCGTACAAAACTGTTGCAAGAAGAGGACTTCGCAACTCTGAGTGGAAGAGGGAAAATTAGATATTACTGCCGACTTGTTGTCGAAAAATGCTCGTCTGACCGCGGTTTAACAGTATATAATGATGATAAAGACTACCATATTTTATTAATATTATTATTGTTATCATCATCATCATCATTATGACGGTCACTGTTATCATATTTATTATTATTATTCCTATCATCATTGGTGTTCCGTATTGTCCTTCAAAATATAAACATAATTGGAATTAAACCGCTCACATAGGCTTGTGATAATCGTTTTTCCTTCTTTTTGCATTTGCTCGAGACTAAGCACATCGGAAAATTTAAAGACTGAACAAGTATAAGTAAATATTCAATCAGAATAAAATAACTTCCACGAGAAGGTTTTAAACGTTTTGAAATATGCAGTAACAAAAATCATAACCTGGGAGAGCCATGGAGAAAGATAGATTCAAACAATAAAGAAAAAGGAAAGGCTCGTGGTTGCCAAACCCTTCTCAGGGATGGCGCCCGAGGCTCACACAGGCCTTCCCGCGGCGCCCATTCTGCTCCGCCCTCTCTTGCTAATTTAATAATAATTAATAATCTCTTAATAATAATTAATAATAACTGCTGCTCTCTTACGAATTTATTTCTATTCATCTTCGCCTTTTCAACGAAGCACTCGAGTTGTTCTTACGTACTCAGAGAACAAACATATAATTATCAGATGAGTGATAGTACCTTGACATTTAGATACTAAGTTCCACCCCTAGGTATTCAGGTTACCATGGCACCCAATCTGAGCATCAATGGTATGGAATAATTATTTAAAAAGGCGACAGAAACCCTTGTTTTCCCTCACACGAAACCAGAATATATAATGCGGAAAGCCTTAGCATCTGAGACCATTTCGAAATTGCGATCAAGACGTGAGGATGGTCTATGGACACTTACCGACGCCGTTTATGTACCGTAGAGCGGAGGCGAAGGCGTTGGCATCGGCGAACACGGCCAAGTCGGCGCCCATGTTGAAGCAAACTTGGCGGGCGGCGATCCAGGAGCTGTAGCGGGTTTTGTCGAGGTAGAGGCAGGTTCCGTCGGCGTCG